ACAATCCAAACCAGTTGGTACTTGCCTCGGACAACTTCACCAGGGCGAAGGGAAGAAGTGGGGAGAGATGATGTTGGTTGGATGGCATGCTCGCGTCTGCCACGCGCGCTGCCCATGAGCTCTAGGGCGCGCAGGCGCCAGCGCTATCGCTAGAGCGCGGCCGGGATACAACGCTGGTTCCCCGGCCACGAGCGCCGGGGTGCCCCGCGTAGGGGCCTCAACTGATCAAGTGCCTGGGTTCGACCGGTGCTCAGCCTCCTGGCTGGAGAGGGCAGATGCCGGCGTCGCGTCCTCCGTCTCCGTCTCCGTCTCGTCGGTGTGGGCGTGCAACTACACGCCGCAGTCGGGCGCGCCGCCTGCGGCTGGCACGGCCCTCTCGACGTCGTCGACGGCCATCGCAAGATGTCCGCTCGGAGCCTCCTGCGCTGGGACGCGGGCCGCGCCCGCGGGCCATTGGATCTGGGCGTCGCCGCGGACGGGCAAGATCCGCACGCGTCGGCCCGCGTCCAGGATCGCGCGCATGGGCCCCGAGCTGCGCGGGCAGAGCAGGCGGGGCAGGGCGTTGCCCGATCTTCTGACACCGGGTGCTGCGAAGCTGTGGATGGTAGCCTTGCCCTGCGCACCTGCGACGGCAAAGGGGGTGCTCACTCGCCTGATGGGTGCACCCATGGGTTCTGCCGCCTACTCCCCGGATGCTCAAGGGCGTGCTCATGGGGAGCTGCTGCGGCCAGCGCCCTGCCTCCACGGCTCGGCGGCGCAGCCGCGCGCGTGCTTCTCACCCGCGAGGTTGGTCCACGCACCTGGGTCCACGACGAAGCTGAGCTTGCCTGACAGTATCTGGGCGCGACTCTGATACGCCCGAGTGGCACGCTCGTTTGCTGAGCCGGTGGCTGGCCACCAGGGAAGCACATCGGCTTCGCCGCCCTATGGCGAGCCTGGGGGCGACGGCTGCCCCCGGTTGGATACAGGGGTGCCGAGGTTGATCTCGCCGATCGGTGCGTCTCTTAGTGTGATGAAGACACCGTCAGCACCAGATGGCGCGTCCTCACCGGGCGCCTCTCGGGGCGTGGATGCCACGTGGATGCGCGTGACCTCGCGCGCACTACCATGCGTTGCCTACGTTGTGTATTGTGAGAATGGTGCTCTGGCGTAGAAGCCGCGAAGAGCTCCTTCGACTGCTCGCATCCAAGCGTTGTCGTAGCTGGCGGAGGCCCAGGCGTCGGCGCAGCTGCGTTGCAAATGGTGGCCACGCTAAAAGACGACAGCGAAATCAAGGTTGACGTAGTAGTCCAAACAGATGCCGCACATCTCATCCATCTCATCAGCGTCAGCCTTCATACCGGTGAGTTCGGATGCTGCGCGCAGATCCGATGGTGGAGGCGGCGGCGCGACGTCTGCGGGTCCAGCCGCAACCATGTCAAGCATATGTTGCGCGCGCGCGTCGGCGAGCGCGCCGTCTTTCCATCGGAGCGTCGCGGTCGGACTCCAGTCTAGCAATGGGAGACAGCCGAACGGTTGTCTCAGGGGCCAGGTCGCGCAGGACGTTGGTCCTGACAGCCGCGGCCGGCACCGCTGCGAGGTGGTCATATCCGAGGCGTTGTTGTTTGTCTGGCGGGGCAGCTCGCGTCGGCTGGCTCTGTCGCAGCCGCGCAAGCTGGCCGAAACAACTGATGCGAGATGCGAAGATGCGCTGATCACCAGGAACCACAGGCTGACCCATCGGAAAGGATGGTGGCGCCAGCGCTGCACCGTTGATAGATGAGGCTCATCTCGCAGGGGGGCCATGGAGCTGCAGTCCTCCGTGGTGCGTTGGCGGAAGGACGAGCTCCGTCGATAGTTGTCGCCAGCCCCGCTGGAAGTTGAGGTGGTCCTGAAGTTGGGCTTGCAATGCTGATTAGTTGTGGCGATGGCAGGATAGCTGGCGCGTCGGTGGACGCGCGCCTCTGGGCAGCGGAGAGCGAGGCTGCTGACCGCGAGCCGTGGACAGATTCAGGCAGCTGCCAGGAGCCGTCGGCGGATGGCTGCGCTGGCGCGGCGCTGCTGCTCGGCCGCGGCCGAGGAGGGCCCTGCGCTATTGCGGAGGCAGCGCCAGAGATCCCAGCGAGAGGGGGCCTGAACAAAGAGCGCCGTCTACGGGTCCGGGGTCTGCGCGGCCCCCGAACTGGTCGCCGCTGCTGCTGCCCCGTGGTGACGACGCAGCACCTCGCGGGCACTCGGCGCGGAAGCGGCGAGGGCCCCGACAGATGCTGCGCGCCGCGAAGCGTGGGGTTCGCGTCGCGGACTTGCGGACGGCGGCGTCTGACTCTTCCTTTGTCTGGCGAGCGTTTGCCTTAATCTTTTTTCCCCCGAAGAAGAACTGGTATATTTCGGCGTCTGAGAGATCCATGAGGAATGCGCACTTCAGGAGAAGGCGCTATTGTTCTCCTTACTCACCCTGCGCGCCTTACGAGTGAGGTGTTGCGCGCGTCTGCGCCGCTGCCGCTTAGCAGTCTTCATTTGCCAGAACAGCTGGGCATCTACCTGGGTAGGGCTGATGCCTTGGGCCTCTGGTGCTCGGTGGTTGACGTCTTCGCGCGGGTCCGGGCTTGCGTCTGCGGAGGTCCCGCTGTCGTGGTAGGCCTAGTTCGCGGGCGCCCGCGCGACGGCCGGATTGGCTGCCTGCGATGGCGCGGCGCTCAGCGGCGGGCCGGTCGCGCGCGCCATGGGACCTCCTGCGCCAAGAAGCTCAGCGGCGCTGTCAGCCCAGGGGTCGAGACCTTGAGCGCGCCAGTGGCCCTGTGTGTCGTTGCGCTTCTAAGTGGTCGCGCCAGCGAAATCTCAGAACGACGGCGGCGCGCGAAGAACGCTTGCGACGTTGTCTGGCGCGCGCTCTACGATGCGACCCACGCGCCTGAGCATAGTCGTCAGACTGTTGAACTCGTCCGCTGTGGCTGGGCATCTGTTGCCGCGGGGCTGGAGCAACGTCGTGAGTTGTCTAGCTGCGACACCGGCCGTCCGGAGGAACAACCAGCTGCAGCCTTCCCCGGACAACGCAGCTCCACCGTTGCGCGCGACTCGGAATCGCACCGCAAGAAGCCGCGAGAGCAATGCGTCGGTGGTTTCGTTGCGTCGCCTCGAGAAATCAAGAGTTCGCGGGTTGCCTGGAGGCGCGACTCCTCGCCGAGTGGGCCGGACTGTGTGGCGAGGTTCGCGATGGGATAGGTCGCGGCGTCCACTTGCTGGCCGTTGACCACGCCTCCATCCGTCATATCCGCGAAGCTCATTGAGCGAGTGAGCCGGCGAGCGGTCGGCCCGCAGAGGTTGAGGATGACGGCGGCGCATGGTTGAACGATGTCCGTGTCGGTGGCTAGCACGCTCCAAGCGAGCCAGTCCTGCAATGGCGGAAAAGATACGCGGACTCGCAATCGATTGACCATGAAAACGGCTAGCGGGATTGATCGCACCACGGCCGCCGCCGCCGCCCTGTGGGCTGGTTCAACAAGGTACCATGCGGGTGACCAAGGTAGAATACGAAGATGCTGCCCGAGAACGACAGGATGGCCCTCACTAGGTTGATTGCTGCGCAGGCGCATTGGGACTCGGGCCTGCGGAGGAACGAGCGCCATGTCTAAGTGCGGGGCAGCCATGATGATGCCTTCGTCAACTTTGGTCGAAATCGATGTCGGTTAAAATTGTGCATTAGCATTCAGCGTTCCGCTCGGGTGCTGAGGCGCGCTCGCAAGGACAGCCAGCACTGTATTGCACACGTTCCGGCGCACGGCGCTCGCCCAGGGAGGAGCCTCGCAGTCATGCCCGACGCGAGGCTGCGGCCAGTGCCTGCGAGGTGCAATTGGCGTGGGAATCGCGCGGCGGTCATGTGGGCGAGTCGCTCCTCATCGCGGTAACGTTTTGTGATGCTGCCCTCGCACGCAGACCCGACGTCCGAGGAGAATTGCCGGTCGGCTTGCGGGGCACCACCCCTCCTACGGCGTGCCGCGACGGATGTTTGCGACCTTGCCTCGCTGTCCTTCGCGCGTTGATTGCTGGCCGACGACGGCATGATAGCGACGAGCATGGCGTCGTCTCGTTTTTAGTCGACATTCGCCCAGGCTACGTAAGGAATGGAGGGTGGTACCGATGCGGAGGTGAAAGTAACTGCGAATGTGCATCCACACCAGGCTATTCGCACGTTCCATGGATCGCGAGCTGGGATCGCTCTCAGTTCCATAGGTTGCGAGCTGGGGCTGCGAGCTTCTTAATAGAATTGCAGGGTTTAGAAACTGTGATATAGAAAGCATGGCAGCAATGAGATGGTGAACGCACTTCTTCAATCTCCGTCCGAAATACAAAATATGCGCCGACGCTCAAACAGCGGCGGCCCCTCCGATTCGCGTGAAGAAAAGGAGGAGAAGAAGGAGCAGGAGAAGGAGGAAGAGGGAGAGGAGAAGGAGGAAGGAAGAGGAGGAGGAGTGCGAGCAACTTCGGCGAACACGTCTGTTCCTACCTCGGCAGGCAGACGATTACCGCCACAAACTAGTGCTGGCTGCGCTAATCGCACCTGTGTGTAAGCCGCTAGTGGTAGTAGATGATAAAGCGTGAGGAGGAAGAGGAGGAGGAGGAGGAGGAGGACGAGGAGGAAGAGGAGGAGGAGGAGGAGCAGGACGAGAGAATTAGCACGAAGGAAGTAGGTCCTGGAGGGCGGGGGTCCTGGAAGTTGTCCGCTGCATTCGGGCCCCTGGGCCCCTCCACGGGCCGCGGGGCTGTCAACAACATAACGGAAGATGAAGCGCCAAGCGCTGGGCAGGAACCCCCAAGGGCCTGAGACCCTTTTTCCCGCAGGCACCCTCTCTACAAGGCGGGACACGGGGAGGAGAGAGAGAGAGAGAGAGACTCTGGGCGATCCTGCGCAGCCCGCCTTCCTGCGGCGCCGTGGTCATGGGATGACAATCAGCCCAAACACCTTCGGCGGGTCGAGGTTCAGGCCGCCGATGTAGGCGCTCTTGAACGGCTCCATCTCGTCATCATCCATCCAGGCAATGCTGCGCATCCAAGCTTCCTGCTGGCGCCGGCCAACATATAGGCGATCGGCACTCTATCTATGCCCGTGCCCCGCCACAGACCCCCTCCGATGGGCTAGATCGTTAGACGCCCGTTCTGGGGACCTTCCTGAAGGCACGCGAACCACTCCCGCGTCGACGCTGCGTTGAACGTCGGTCGACTTGACTCGAACTTGAACCGAGCTAGAGTCGAAAGAGAGCTGAACGATAACAGGATGAGTCGAACAGGTCCGCTAGGTGGGCCCCAAGAAGGCCCCCCAAACGAACATTTAAAGAGTGCGAGCGAGGATGACAACCCAGCCTCTGGGAGTCAGGTTGTCACTCCATGGCCTAAACTCTTGGCGTCCAGAGGTGAAGTCTGCAGAAAGGGCTGGATGAAGTCGCTATTGCTGAAAGCAGCGTGTAGCATTGTCATTCGGTTTTTGTCCTAACCCCTCACCGTTCAGGGTCGGGGCCAATCCGAGAGATTCCTCAGAACGGCGATTGGGGGTAAGGTACGGCTTTGACCCAACACGGGCCCTGTGGAGCGAGAGAACGGAACGAAGGCGAAGCGAGCGCGAAAACGGCAGCCAACGAGATGCCCCGAAACAGAGCTATGGTCGATCCATGGATCCCGCCGCCGCCGATACTGCCGCCTTCGACGTCGTTGTCATCGTCCCTCCGACCTCAAAGGCTTTGGAGGGGCATCCAGCCGTGGCGACAAGGGCGACGAGAGCCACCCAACAAGCTCCCACACGACCCAAAGCATGAGAACCGTCGTCGTCGCCTTCTCAGCCGCTGCACGCCGCCGGCGTCGTCGTTCACAGACATCATGCGCCAATGCTGCCTTCTGACAATCCCACCAGCCATTGAGGGCGCACGAGGTTTGGCGAGTTCGTTGCAATCCCCTTTCTCCCCTTCTGGCAGGGGCTTACCAGCTCCTCATTGACGCGCCAAGCGACGAGCCAGAACGTCGCGCCTTGGGAACGCGCCAGGCGACGCGCCAGGGGAAGGGATTTTGAAATGCAAAGCATGGAAATGTTTCAAGGTAGCGTTGGTGATGCGCAGTGCCGCAGTCGAATAAGGCGGAGCGCTCGAGCAGCTCGGGCTCAAGACCAGATTCAGTTCGGAAGCGGGACAAACCGAAAGGGGGCGAATCTGAACAGTTCTGTGCCCTGTTGCGTCGTAAGTCAAATCTTCCCTGGCATCCGAATCCTGACAGAACTGAGCGGGGCCTCAAGCTCGAACTGCCTGGGCGGATTGCTCGATCAGAGCGGATTGCAGCCGAGACCTTATGCACATATCATGTTCCGCAACTCGTCGAAATCATAAGTGCGAGTCCGAACCGAGGCGAAATGCATCGAGCAGGGGCGGGCCGAAGCGCCGACTACGACAACGACGGCGAAGGCGACGACCGCGACCGCGGTTCCAGCTCGGGAACTCTATGTTAGATACCCCCCTGGGTGGCCTGGACACATGTGAAAACACGTGGTTCCAGCTCGGGACCGCCATGTTAGGTACCCCACTAGGAAATCTGGAAAATCTCAAGCCAAAGAAGCTGCGCCAGGTCATTACACCCCTGGTGTCGATTCATTGATTGCGTCTGGCTCTTATGCCCCCCCCCCGCTAAAAACACACGGTTCCAGCTCGGCTCGGGGGAATCGTGTTATACACCCCTCTGGGTGGCGTGGACACGATAAAGAACGAGCTTCCAGCCCGTGGCCACCATGTTATATACCCTTTCTGGGTGGCCTGGACACGTGAAAGCACTTGGTTCCAGCTCGGTGCCACCATGTTAGATACCCCTCTGGGTGGCCTCGGCAGATGGAACCGCGTGGTTCCAGCCAGGGGCAAGGAGCAACAATCTTAGATACGCACTCTGGGCTGCCTGGGCATGTAAAATTACATGGCTCCAGCCTGGGAGCACCATGTTAGATAACCCCACCTGTGACCTGAACACGTAAAAGAGCGTGGTCCCAGCTCGGGGCCACAATGTTAGGTACCCCCCTGGGTGGCCTGGACATATGAAAACACGTGGTCCAGCTCGGGACCACCATGTTAGATACCCCTCTGGGTGGCCTGGACATGTGAAAACACGTGGCTCCAGCTCGGAAACTACATGTTAGATATCCCCGCGTGGGTGGCCTGGACACGTGAAAACATTTGGTTCCAGCTCGAGACCACCATGACAGATACCCATGCTGGGGCCCCCAGTTGACCACATGTTAGATAGCCCCCAGTAGGTGGCCCGCACAAGTAAAAAACCCGTGCTTCCAGCTCCGGGCCACCATGAAGTGGAAACGTGGAGGATGTTCAACCAACTCGACCTCGAAGTCCGACTCAGCTCCGAAAAGGAACGACACGACACGGGGCACAGGCTCACGGACGCGCCACAGGATGTGCCAGGGGCGCAAGAGGGGATGCGCCAGGTGACGTGCCAGGGGACGTATCAGGGGACATGCCCTGGACGTGTCAGGGGCCTGCCACGGGACGTGCCGAGGCACGTGCCATGGGGCGGCCAGAGGACGTCATGCCAAGCGACGTTGCAAAGGGGCGCGCCACAGAACGGGCAGGGGAAACGCCTGGGGACGAGCCAGGAACCGCGACAGAGGACGGACCAGGGAACGTGCCACGCCGAGTGGCGTGCTAGCGCACGTGCCAGGGCAACGTCACGCCAGAACGTCGCAAGGGACGCGCCAGGGGACGCGCCAGCGCGCCAGGAGGACGCCCCACGGACAGGCGGGGTTGGACTGCGACGCACTCTGGTGCGACAAGCGGTTCGCTCGAGACATCCTGCCCAAATCCTCATGTTAGACATCCGCCTGGGCGACCTGGACACGTGGAATCAAGCGTCTCGCTCGAGACGTTCTCAACACCTCTTCATGCTAGACATCTGTCTGGACAACCTGGACGCGTGAAAACAAGCGCTTCACTCGAGACATCCTGCCATAATCCTCATGCTGGACATATGCCTGGGCGACCTGAACACGTGTCAGTGTTTCGCTCAACACATCCTCATCACCTCCTAATGCTAGACATCCGCCTGGGCGATCTGGACACGTGAAAACAATCGTCTCCCTCTCTCTCTCTCTCTCGAGAGAGAGAGAGAGAGAGAGAGAGAGAGAGACGTTCTCAACAAATCCTCATGCTAGACATCTGCATTGGCGACATGGACGCGTGAAAACAAGCGTCTCGCTCGAGAGATCCTCAACACATCCTCATGCTAGAAATCTGCCTGGGCCACCTGGACCCGTGAAACCAAGCGTCTCGCTCGAGACATCCGGAATACCTGGGCTTTCACCTGAGACATCCTCTGAATTCTGGCAAGCGTTTCGCTTGAGAAATCCTCAACAAATTATGCAAACCCACTGTTGCGCTCGAGACATCTGCAACAAACGAACATGTATACTTTACCATATGTTTACCGATCGGAATTTCAAACACCAGCGTTTCACCTGGGACATCCTCGTCTTTTTTGATTCGCCGGACCTACACTACCTCATCTTTTCATTCGCCGGCCCCACGCAAGTCGAGGCCAGGGGGTTAACCCACTAAAAGAGAACCCTGTGCTCACGCCCTGTCCGGGAAAAACACATGCAGGTTGATTGCGGGCGCAGGCACAGCACGCAATGCTGGCAACACGGTCCCTGTCAAAAGATACTGCAAAGTAATCGCAGCGCACCCGAACATCATCAGATGTGTGATGCGACATGCGCTGGCGCACCTCGCGCACTCTGTGCGCGACATTCAGTTGACTCTCCTGGCGAGGTTGGAGCACGTGGCCTTCACGGGCGCGTGTGGAGCACGTCGCGCATCTGGCGCACCAGCCGCGGGTTACTGGCGCACCTGGTGCGCGTGGCGCACCCAGCACACGAGGCTCACCTCGAGGGCGTCGTGCACCTGGCTGGCGTCTGCATTGGTCCCCGATGGTTGTCGATAGACGCCCCTGCCTATTCTGAGATCCTGGTGCTACTTATGTAGTGAGATGGCGGGTGGGAGTGAGCGAGGCAGCTTGCGGCGCTCCCGCTGGAAACTTGACAAACGCTTTTAATTAGTAACCAACTCGAGCAAATGCTGACCCCCCGACACACACCATCTCTAACAACACCATGCAAAGTGCACTTTGCGGAAATGTGCGAATCATGTTCGGGCACTCGTGATCACTTGTACTGCCTTTTGACAGGGACGGCGGGGGGAACCTCATACTGCCCGCGCCTGCATGCGCACCATGCCCGCCAAAAATGTGATCCAGCGCCAACTGCAAACAGTGGTTTCTTGAAAAGCTACGCGGTGCGGTGCAATCTTTGCGGCGCACTCAATGTGGTTCAGCCTAGGTGTTGCGATCCAATTAGTGCAATCTATGCGGCGCAAAGCAATTCAAAGCAATGCTTGAGAAATGCAAAGCATGGCAAATCAAAACAAAACAAAACAATGCAACGCAAAGCAAAGCTGAGCAAGGCAGAGCACTGCAATGCAATGCACGGTAATGGAAAGCAATGCGTGTGCAATGCAATGCAATGCGATTGCAACGCAATGCGACTGCAATGCAATGCGATTACAGTGCAATGCATTGCGACGCAAAGCAATGCGAATCAATACAAAGCAATGCGCATCAATGCAATTGCGTCAGCATTGCAAAGCAATGCGCAACAAGTCAATGCAATGCAATGCGATTGCAATGCGAAGCGATGCAGAGAAATGGAAAACAATCCAGCGGCGATGGTGGCGGCGACGGGTGGCTACACGGAACCTCCTCAGAACGCATCGGAAAACCCCAAAGCACGCCAAACATGAAAGAACATCAATGCTTGTGGCCGTCTCAACTGTTTCCGCTTCCCATGTGTCTGATCGATGATGTCCAATATTGCCGCCAGATGTCGCGCAAGGCCCCCAATAGGGGCCAAATAGAGCCTCAAGAGTGCTGCCCAAGTGAGCTGCCAAGAGGTTCCCATATCGAAAGATCTGAGAATCAATGATTGACTCATGGGCCTGCTCAGGCTGATCTCGAGCTAAGGATTGACGGCTACCCCCCCGTCTCCACTACACTGCTTGCTCCTACATTTCCCCGATCAAGGCAACTCGCCTTGGAATCGTTTCTGGATGGGGCTGGCGGGGAAACGCAAAACATCAAGAAATCTGAAACTTCTGGGGACCGAAACGGAATTCCACAGGCCAAACACATTGACATACCAGCCGTCACTCCTTTGTTTGCCCTTGGCAACCCGATCTGAGGATCGCCGCCGTCGCCGACGGCAAACATTTCTCCGTCCGCGTCCTCGCCCTCGTAGTCGTCACCGCGGCCGTCGCAGTCGCCGCCGCCGCCGCCGCCGCCGTCGTCGTCGTCGTCGTCGTCGTCGTCGTCGTCGTCGTCGTCGTCGTCGTCGTCGTTGTTCCTCGTCGTCGTCGGGATCGTCGTGCGAGCAACATCTCATCAACATCGGTCCTGCCGGCCCCTCCTCAAGCCCATCCTGAACAGTTTCTCGAGCTGCGCCTAGCCGTGGTTACGAGGACCCAGCAGAAATGCCTCACAGAAACATCCGAATCCACGACGACGACGACGGCGACGTCGACGTCGTCGTCGATGCACCTTCCATGGGCACGTTCTGGCGAAGATCTCAAGACGGATCCGACGGTGGCTACGAGAAGCCTCCCAGAGGCTCAAAGAGAACAAAACATCATTCAAGATCATCGATCGCCGACGACGGACACGACGACACGACGACGACGACGACGCCAGACCCACATTTCGTGCAACATGCAACAAGCCTCTCCTAGGGTCCATATGGTCCATGTGTCAGGACCCCGTGAACGGGAACGTTGGTAAACTAGGACATTGGCACAACGAGGGATACTGCAGCCATGGATCGTAACATTCTCCATCCCTCGGTTCCTCCCTCTGGATCTCGCCAAGTCTTGGTCTGCAGCGTCCCGGGCCCTGAATTCTGGGTCACAGTAGTCGTCCGTGCCGGACCGATCCCTGGACGGCCCCAGGATCCGAAGCGGGCCCCTGGAGCCCCAAACGTATCAAAAACCTTTGAACCTCAACCATCCCAGGCGAGCGTTTTCTTATTTGATTCGGCGTTTCGACATTGGGCGAAAGGAGGGGAGGGTGGGGGGTCTGGCTCCGAACCTCTGCTTTAGTGCGACTGTTCGCAGCAGTGCGTCCTGTGAGGGAGGGACCCCGCCGGCTCGAATCAGGGGCCCAAGACAGCCAAGATCTACTCCAGGGGGTGGGATGGGGGGAGGGGCGGGGGTGCGAGGGCCCGCGCCGATCGGCAAAGCGGTGAATGAGAAAACGCTAACCAGACATGCGATGCCTTGATTATTTCATGACGCGGCGGTACTTCGCCACCGGGTTCATGGAGAAGGCGCTCCTTTGCAAGTACGTCGGCTTCGGCACCGCCTGATTCCGAGGCTTTGCCTCCTCCCGGCCTCGTTCTGAGGCTGCGCCCCCCCTGCTCCTCCCCCATCCCTGGTTAATTCAAGCTTCGCGCAGCCCGCTTAGCTTCGACCGGAAGAGGTGCGCTCTCGACCCGCGAATCAAAAAAGATCGTTTCATGACGCGGTGCCCAGAACCTTTGCCCAGGGCTCGTCGGTCATCCCGAATCGCTCTGTCAACGGCCCCGAGGCCCTGCGAGGGCCCCCCGGAGACCGAGGCCGACAAGAAAAGTCAGCCCTGCGAATACTCAAAGTCTGCATCTCGTCTTCGGTGGCGCTGCCCATGGGGCCACGAGCCGTGTGAGGGGCGTGCCGACATGTGTGGCGAGTTACACTGCACGAACGAAGTCGATGGGTCTGAGCACGAGAGACTGGGGGCAGGGCAGTCCGAGCGCGAGTGAGTCTGACTATGAATGAGCCTGCGCGCGAGCGAGTCTATGCGCATGAATGTCGACGCCCATGTCGGCACGCCTCTCACGAGGTCCAAACGCCTCCGACACTCCCGCCCCCCCCGCATACGGAACCCCCGGGGCCCTCGACCCCAGACGACGACGACGACGACGACGACGACGACGACGACGACGACGACGACGACGACGACGACAGCGACGGCGACGGCGAGCTCCGCAACTGGGACCTTCGGTGGAACTCCCTATGGGGCCACGCGCTGTACTCGGTGGCGGAGACGCATACGAGTTCTGCCGCTGGGACCTTCGGTGGAACTCCCTATGGGGCCACGAAACGCTGTACTGGGCAGGGGGGGCTCATGCGAATCCGCCACTGGGACGTTTCGTGCAGCTCCCTTTGGTGCCACGAAACGCTGTACTTGGCGGGGGGACAGATGAGAAGTTCGCCACTGGGACCTTCGCCGGAGCTCCCTTTGGGGCCACGAAACGCTGTACTGGGTGGGGGGGGACGCATGCGAGTTCCGCCACTGGGACCGTCGGTGGAGCTCCCTATGGGGTCATTAGACGCTGTACTGTGTGGGGGGGGACGCATGCGAGTTCCGCCACTGGGACCTTCGCCGGAGCTCCCTATGGGGCCACGTAGCGCTGTTCTGGGTGGCAGGGGCGCATGCGAGTTCCGCCATTGGGAGCTTCGGTGGAGCTCTTTATGGGCCACGAAACGCTGTACTGGGCGTGGGGGACGCATGCGAGTTCCGCCGCTGGGACCATCGGTGGAGCTCCCTTCGGGGCCACGAAGCGCTGTACTGGATGGGGGGAGCCGCCACGAAACGTGTGAGGGGTGTGCCGAACTTAGTGTCGATAATAGTGATGACGACGGTGATAATGATGACGATGATGGTGATGGTGACGGCGGTGATGATGTTGCTGATGATGATGGCGATGATGATGATGATGATGATGATGATGATGATGATGATGATGATGATGATGATAATGATGATGATGATGATGATGATGATGATGATGATGATAATGATAATGATGATGATTATGATGATGATGATGCTGATGATGCTGATGATGATGATGATGATTATGATGATGATGATGACGGAGGGGGGGAAGGAGGAGAGCAGGAGGGAGAGGAAGGAACGCGGGGCGCTGTTTCTTCAAAACGAAGACCCATCTCCGCAGGATGGTTGAGAATAATCAGACGTACTTCTTTCGAGACGCGAGCATGACTGGTGCCCGATTGGGGAGGACGATGACGTCGACGACAATGACAGCGACGACTTCGACGACGACGACGGCGACGGCGCCGTCGACGACGACGACGACTTTGACGCCGTCGTCTAGCCGCGCCGACGGTGGGCGTCCTGCTGCGCGTCGGTGAGCGGCGGCGCGCAGCACTCCCCCGTCTGCGTGGCGGCCGCTGCCACTGGATCCCCTTCTTCCACGGCTGTCTCCTGCACAGGGAGGGGAGCTCTCTGACATGTCCTCGCTGTGAAATAATAAACTACTCCTCCTCCTCGTCCTCCTCCTCCTGCTGGTACCCTCATCTCCGCCCGTCGTCTGGGCCGCTGTGTCGCTCTGGCGGCTACGTAAGCACAATCGCCGCCACGTCGCCGCCTCGTCGACGCCCGTCGTCTGGGCCGGTGTGGCGGTTTGGCGGCAATGTTGTCGCTGCCGCCGCCTCGTCGACGACACAGTGGGTGCTCTACATGGATTGCACAACGCACATTGCACCACATAGATTGACTGCACCACATGGATTGCACAATTTGGGTTGCACAGTGCATGTTCCACTAGATTGCACATATACGTATCAAAATATATACGTATACATGTATATATTGACATCACCACATTTAATGCACAGCATCGAATGCACGACATATATTTCACAACGCTGATTCGCCGCTCTGGAAGAATATTAGGGTCTAGCGAGTTTAACCCCCGCCCCTCGGGAATTAACGATTCCCTTTCTCGTCTTGTGATTTTCAATACGATCCTGCCCCGTCACTCATCCTAAATATAAGCTCGTCCAATACCAGGCAGGCCGGTATCCCCTCCCGATCCGCTGGAAACATGATCGACCCACGAATCCGGAAAGGAATATAGAAATGTAAAGCATGGCAGCGTTTCTAAAAACACCTGATTGGGCGACGGGCAACTACAATGCTGAGTGTATCGATCTTGATGTACCGTGCCGAGGGCTGTGCTGTGCTGCGCCGTACTGAATTGCGATGTGCCATGCCGCGATTGTGCTCTACAGTGTTGTGGATCGAGTCCTCCTTTGCATCCGAGTCCTGACCGAACTGATGTGGATCTCAAGCTCGAGCTGCCTCAGCACATGTAGCTGCCCTCGTCGTCGTCGTCGTCGTCGTCGTCGCCGTCCTCGCCGTCGTCGCCGTCCTCGCCGTCGTCGCCAACGTCATCGTTGATGGCGGCGCCTCATCCTCCTCCTCCTCCTCCTCCTCCTGCTCCTCCTCCTCCTCCTCGATCCTCTGCCTCTGCGCCAGGGGTCGCTAACCGCCACTGGAGGCCTCCAGAGGCCGCCAGGCACCCATGGGCAAAACATGCCCGGACACGTGTACCGTCGACATTTTTCCCCAAATGGGAAGAACTCTCTCCTCCGACGTCGCACCTTTCTTCACACCAGCCTCGAGATGCCGAATGCATGCAAAAGCCAGCCGTCTCTGTTCTGTGGACTCGACCGGACATGCCGCTTCTATCATGTTGAGTCGGGGGGGCCCGAAAATCCGATGTCTTGACATTCTCCACACGGGGTCCCCAGAAGCCCCGACACTTGCCCCAAGGCCAGCGTTTCATCTCGACTCATTCGTCGGGCCCTAGGCCTGGCAAGACCCGCCGATGGCCGAAAGAGGCGAAAACCCACCCGTCTTGATATCTACAATGACACCGCCGTATCATAAGGACGCACGGTGAGGGTGCAAGGGCCTTGGAAGGCCACGTCGACACTTTGCCAGTGAGGCGCGGCCAACGAAAGCGGCCAAGGATGGGCCGAAGAGAAAGGATGCAAGGGCAACCTTGGGAAATTGCTTATCCTTACTATGCGGGTTGACTGGTACAAGACGTTGGATGTTTGCGGAGGTCTGGACCCGGGAGCCAAGCATCGATCCTCCGATCTCCTCTGAGAAGGACTCGCTGACCAGAGTTCCGAGGGGAATCCAGCCGTGGCGACGCGGAGCGTCCCAGAGGGGACGAAAGGACGAAGAACACCCGAGGCCCTCCTTCCTCGAAGCTCGAACCTTGACGTTGGACCCCTGGGGTTGGCGCTACTCCCTGACCTATCGGGGAGGGTTCTGACCAAAATATCCAATCCAATCCAGCCGTTGCGACGAGGGTAACGGTATCAGCACCTTCCCTGAGATCCTGGGTCACCAACAAAAATACAACATCGCACGTACACAACAAATCGACCAGAGCCCTGAACCCCAATCGATCTGCAGCATTTTTCGAGCCAGATCCATCTGCCAGAGCCCCGGGGTCCGAAACAAGGCAAACTCACAAATTACCACGAACAATGCGACGCCGCTAGGATCTCAGGATTCTGGCGATCTTCGGGTCATAATTCGGGCCTCAGTCGGCCGCTCGGGACGATCTGGGCACCCCTGGAAAGCCCTCGGAGAGGCGCAGCTGCTGGAAGGCCCCCCGAGGCTGAAGGCCGCCGCGAACCAACGAAAACGCTAGAAACCTCAAACTTCAAACCCTGGAAAATTGAAGCTTCGATGCTCCCCTCCAAACGCCAGGATCTGGGGGGCGGCATCGGCATCTTCTCCTGACCCCTCCCGCCTCCCGTCGATCCTGGCGCGGCGCGGCATTACGCCCGAGGGCGTGTTGTGCCGGCAGACCCGCTGCCGCGGCGTCGCGCGGAGGCTGCTGGCGGGAGGGCTCCTGAGGGAGCAAGACCAGCAGCAGGCATAAAGATAAACCCAATTTAAAACAAAACTAAAATTATCAACATCATTTCAAATCTAATTGCTTCGAAATGATTAACCCATTCCAATAAAATCTACGATCTTGACAAGAATCGTAAATTTATCTGATTCCTAAAGAGAAGTGAAACACACTTCGGGCCCGCCGCCGTGGGGAACCAGTCAGCTTGAACGGCCAAGCGCACTGGACAAGCCACCGTTGGACCAGGAATCCGGTGCCTGAAAGCCTGCTGGAGCACCAGTTTGAGGTTGCCCATGGATACCACCGCCGCCCTCATCAGATCAGTACGCCTTAACGCACGTACACGCCTTAACGCACGTACGGTTGCGTATGGAGCCTCCTGGGTACACTCCTTCACGCACGTCCCCACCGTCGCCGACTGGGGTGGCCGCGGTGGCCCAGAACTCTCCCAGCCCGCAGAAGATGGGGGGGGACAACAGGGACCACCGCCTCGCCACGGCTGGACGCGGCCTGCCCCCCTCTTGACGACCTCTCTCTGCGCGTGTCTGAGGCCGAGACCTGAATAGGGGACCACATGCGAACCCTACCCCTACCCCCCACGATCTCTGAGGGGGAGGGTGGGGTTCACTTCGTTCGGGAGCTCCCACACGAAGTGAACCCCGCCCCCCCCCTCAGAAGTCGTGGGGGGTAGGGGTAGGCTTCGCATGTGGCCCCCTTACTGCAGGACTGCCAGGCCTCCCGATCAAAACAGCGAGGGCGCAGCACGGCGAGCGGGCTCCCAAAACAGCGGCGCGTCTCGTCGCTGCAGCCGTCGTTTTTGGGAGCGAAGGGACTCTCCTGGCCACGGGAAACCTCGGCCATGAAGACGACCTCCGACCTCCTCCTCCTCCTCCTCCTCCTCCTCCTCCTCCTCCTCCTCAGCGCAAGAGATCATGACCCAAGCATCATGCGTCGCGACTTTGTCACAACGTGGCTCCGCGGGGAAGGGGTGACTGTCTGAACCCCTTCCCCGAGACTGGCGGTCCATCCCGAATCGTTTGTGGCGGTCCCAGGGCCCAGCGAGGGCCCCTGGCGGCCTAAACTTGACCAACAACTTCGTCCTCGTTTTTGCCACGACGAGAGGATCGGACGTTAGGATCAAGAGTACATTACCGTAGGGAAAACACATCGACTAGAGCCCTGGACCCCATCTTCCCGCTGCTTGCTGCGAACCGGACCGAGCCGCGAGGGCCCCAGGGCCCGAAACAAGGTAAGGCCGTCCTTTGTGAAACAAATGCGATATCAGGATCTCGGGGACGAGCGAGGACGAGAGGCGAGGCCAAGAGGGAGAGAAAGAGAGAGAGAGAGAGAGAGAAACAAAAAAAAGAGTAAGAGGAACGGACCACAAGGTTGCAGTAGCCAGAAAACGACAACCCCCAAGGGAACCAGGAGGTACCCGATACTGCTACTCCCTGGACCTCTCTAGGGTGCGTTCAGACTAGACATCCGAGGCGAATCCAGTCGCAGCTACGACGGCCTCCCAGATGGCCCCAAAAAGGCGGAGACGATGGAAGAGTAGCAAAAATATTCAAAACAAATACCGCCGTCATGTTTCTTCTATAACGAAAGTTACACGCAGAACTTATTATCAATTAATGGGGGGGCAAAAGTGAAAACGGGCCGAAGCCAACTCCCTGGAACCAATCGGGGAATCGGGGAATCAGCCAGTCGGCCAGTCGGGGAACCGGGGAGTCGGGGAGTCGGGGAATCGGCCAGTCGGGGAGTCGGGAGTCGGCAAGTCCGGGAGTCGGCCAGTGGGGGAGTCGGTGAGTCGGGGAGTCAGCCAGTCGGAGATTCGGGGAGCCGGCCAGTCGGGGAGTCGGGGGGATCGGGTAGTCGGGGAGCCGGCCAGTCGGCCAGTCGGGGAGTCGGCCAGTCGGGGAGTCGGCCAAGCGGGGAATCGGGGAGTCGGCCAGTCGGGGAGTCGGCCAGTCGGGGAGTCGGGGAGGCGGAGAGTCGGGGAGTCGAGCCGGGGAGGCGGGGAGTCGGGGAGTCGGGGAGTCGGCCAGTCGGGGAGTCGGCCAGTCGGGGAGTTAACCAGCCGGAGAGCCGGCCAATCGGGGAGTCGGCCAGTCAGGAGTCGGCCAGTCGAGGAGTCGGGGAGTCGGCCAGGGAGTCGGGGAGTCGGCCAGTCAGGGAGTCGGGAATCGGAGACTTGGGGAGTCGGGGGCTCGGCCAGTCGGGGAGTCGGGGAGTCGGGGACTCGGGCCAGACGGAGAGTTGGGGAGTCGGGGAATCGGGGAGTCGGCCAATCGGTGGGTCGGGGAGACGGCCAGTCGGGGAGTCGGTGAGTCGGCCAGTCGGTAAGTCGGAGAGTGGGCCAGTCGGGGACTCGGGGAGTCGGCCAGTCGGGGAATCGGCCTTCCGGCCAGTCGGGAAGTCGGGTGGTCGGCCAGTCGGGGAGTCGGCCTGTCGGCCAGTCGGCCGGCCGGGGAGTCGGGGGGCCGGCCAGTCGGGGAATCGGGGAGTCGGTCGGGGAGTCGGGAGGTCGGGGAGTCGGGGAGTCGGTCGGGGAGTCGGGGAGTCGGCCAATCGGAGAGTTGGGCAGTCGGGGAATCGGCCAGTCGGAGAGTTGGGGCATCGGGGACTCGGGGAGTCGGCCAGTCGGGGAATCGGGGGATCGGGGGTCGGCCAGTCGGGGAGTCGGGGAGTGGGCCAGTCGGGGAGTCGGCTGGTCGGAGAGTCGGGGAGTCGGGATCGGGGGCTCGGGCCAGGGGTCGGCCGGTCGGAGAGTTGTGGGATCGGGGAAATCGGGGAGTCGGCCAATCGGAGAATCGGGGAGTCTGGTGGTCGGCCAGTCGGGGAGTCGGCCAGTCGGGGAATCGTGGAGTCGGGGAGTCGAGCCGGGGAGTCGGGGAGTCGGGGAGTCGGGGAGTCGGCCAGTCGGGGAGTCGGCCAGTCGGGGAGTTAACCAGTCGGAGAGTCGGCCAATCGGGGAGTCGGCCAGTCGGAGAGTTGGGGCATCAGGGAAGGGGAGTCGGCCGAGGAGTCGGGGAGTCGGCCAGTCGGGGAGTCGGGGAGTCGGGGAGTCGGGGAGCCGGCCAGACGGGGAGTCGGCCAGCCGGGGAGTTAACCAGCCGGAGGGTCGGCCGATCGGGGAGTCGGCCAGTCGGGAGTCGGCCAGTCGAGAAGTCGGGGAGTCGGCCGGGGAGTCGGGGAGTCGGCCAGTCGGGGAGTCAGCCAGTCGGGGAGTCGGGGAGTCGGGTAGTCAAGGAGTCGGGGAGTCGGCAAGTCGGGGAGTCGGCCAGACGGGGAGTCGGGGAATCTGGGAGTCGGCCAATCGGGGAGTCGGCCAGTCGGAGAATCTGGGGATCGGGGAGTCGGCCAGTCGGGGAGTCGGGGAGTCGGTCGGGGAGTCGGGGAGTCGGCCAATCGGAGAGTTGGGCAGTCGGGGAATCGGCCAGTCGGAGAGTTGGGGCATCGGGGAATCGGGGAGTCGGCCAGTCGGGGAATCGGGGGATCGGGGGGTCGGCCAGTCGGGGAGTCGGGGAGTCGGCCAGTCGGGGAGTCGGCTGGTCGGAGAGTCGGGGAGTCGGGATCGGGAACTCGGGTAGTCGGGGAGTCGGCCAGTCGGAGAGTTGTGGGATCGGGGAAATCGGGGAGTCGGCCAATCGAAGAATCGGGGAGTCGGGTGGTCGGCCAGTCGGGGAGTCGAGCCGGGGAGTCGGGGAATCGGGGAGTCGGGGAGTCGGCCAGTCGGGGAGTCGGCCAGTCGGGAAGTCGGGGAGTCGGGGAAACGGCCAGACGCGGAGTCTGGGAGTCGGGAAGACGGCCAGTCGGTGAGTCAAAAAAGTCGGCCAGTCGGGTAATCGGAGAGTCGGCCAATCGGAGGGTCGGGGAGTCGGGGAGTCGGCCAGTCGGCGAGTTGGGGTCGGCCAGTCGAGGATCAGGGAGTCGGGGAGTCGGGGAGTCGGCCAGTCGGGGAATCGGCCAGTCGGGGAGTCGGGAGAGTCGGCCAGGGGAATCGGGGTCGGCAGTCGGCCAGTCCAGTCGGGGAGTCGGAGAGTCGGGGAGTCGGCCAGTCGGAGAGTCAGGGAGTCGGGGAATCGGGGAGTCGGGGAGTCGGGGAGTCGGCCAGTCGGGGAGTCGGGGAGTCGGGGAGTCGGCTAGTCGGGGAGTCGGGGAGTCGGGGAGTGGGCCAGTCGGGGAGTCGGGGAGTCGGGGAGTTAACCAGTCGGAGAGTCGGCCAATCGGGGAGTCGGCCAGTCGGAGAGTTGGGGCATCAGGGAATCGGGGAGTCGGCCGAGGAGTCGGGGAGTCGGCCAGTCGGGGAGTTGGGGAGCCGGCCAGACGGGGAGTCGGCCAGCCAAGGAGTTAACCAGTCGGAGGGTCGGCCGATCAGGGAGTCGGCCGGGGAGTCGGGGAGTCGGCCAGTCGGAGAGTCAGCCAGTCGGGGAGTCGGGGAGTCGGGTAGTCAAGGAGTCGGGGAGTCGGCAAGTCGGGGAGTCGGCCAGACGGGGAGTCGGGGAATCTGGGAGTCGGCCGATCGGGGAGTCGGCCAGTCGGAGAATCTGGGGATCGGGGAGTCGGTCAGTCGGGGAGTCGGGGAGTCGGTCGGAAGTCGGGGAGTCGGCCAATCGGAGAGTTGGCCAGTCGGAGAGTTGGGGCATCGGGGAATCGGGGAGTCGGCCAGTCGGGGAGTCGGCTGGTCGGAGAGTCGGGGAGTCGGGATCGGGAACTCGGGTAGTCGGGGAGTCGGCCAGTCGGAGAGTTGTGGGATCGGGGAAATCGGGGAGTCGGCCAATCGGAGAATCGGGGAGTCGGGTGGTCGGCCAGTCGGGGAGTCGGCCAGTCGGGGAGTCGAGCCGGGGAGTCGGGGAGTCGGGGAGTCGGGGAGTCGGCCAGTCGGGGAGTCGGCCAGTCGGGAAATCGGGGAGTCGGGGAAACGGCCAGACGCGGAGTCTGGGAGTCGGGAAGACGGCCAGTCGGTGAGTCAAAAAAGTCGGCCAGTCGGGTAA